CAGCACAAAAACAGAGTAATTTAAAATAATTCTGAATATGGAAACTGAACATGTTGTGTGTTCTTGGATATGTGTGTTCTGGTTCAGGTTTTATGTTTTAGCTCCAGCAAAGATAAGACCTGGAACAAAACAGAACATCCTGCTGGAGGGTCACAAACTCTCCCAGGCATTAGAAGTCTCCATCGCGGTCTATGATTACCCAGACTCCCAAACTGCCTTAATGAGAGGCTCTGTTATCCTCAATTCAAAAAACAACTACAGCGCCCTCAAAACCATCGCGGTGAAGTTAGCTATGAATATATTTGTTCTAATTCAGAGTTAACTTTGTTGGTTAAATTTGTTTAACCCTCTGGTGCTCCTTATTTGGGAGTAACACTTGTGGTCTTAGTAAACGGCTAGTGTCTAGATGCCAGAGGGTGCTGCTGAAGCCCAGGCTCAGATTTAGGCTGAAGCCTTGTGGCGACTTGTACCAGCCGCCGAACTGGAGCATTTCAGCAGGAAGTGAAGCATGCCCTGCAATGACTTCTGTGCTGCCGTAAATCCCTCAGCAAAAACATCCACGGCAGGGCCAGATCCCTTGGGAGAGCTGTGGAATCGAGGAAGGCGATCTTGTCAGAATCCTTGATCTCTGTTAGGTTTAGCCAAAGGTGGCACTCCAGCTCCACCAGGTTGGCCATGGCCTTGTGCAGTCGCCTTTGTACTGTGCAGAGCCAGGCCAGTCGCTATGCGCAGCTCCTTAGAGGCATTGGAACTCTGGCTAGACTCATCCATGGTGTGGAGAAGTTTGGCCTGAAAAACTTGGATCAACGCCATCGTGTGAAGTGCTGAGCCAGCCTAGCCAGCCACTGAATAAGCCCTGCCTTCCAGAGCGGAGGTAGCCCTACATGGCTTAGATGGGTGTGCTGCATGGACCTTCAATCCCAGGGCTGATGGAAGGCAGAGATGTGTGGCGAAGCTTGCAATAACCTCTTTCTACAGAGCTGTCAACAGTGGTGAGAGCAGCAGAAGTGGAGGAATGAACACCTGCCTAAGTAGGGTGCGTGCCATGTCCTGGGCTGTGTTTCCCAAAAGCATTGTAAACTTAAATACATTGTAGACCCATTGAAACTAATGGGGCTACGATCAACTTGGGCTTACGATGCTTTTGGGAAACACAGCCCTGATGATTTCGTCGTGAACCTCTGGGAAGAACATGGTGGGCCATTGGCAGGTGGATCGTTGACAGCATCCTTGCAGGTACCACTCATCTAAGCTGCCATGGGCGGGCTTTTCAGGAGCTGACCAGTCCAAGCCGAGGTTCTCCACAGCCTTAGAAAGTGGATCAGCTTGCTGTCCACACTGGGCGCGTTGGATCTTCGCCGGAACATTCCCGACAGACCCACCAAAGAAGATCAAGCCGCTCGCAGTTGACGAGAGGCGCTGATCATAACTTGTGAAATACACAGACGAGTCGAGGCGTTGGGGGGAGAGTGAAGCACGCGGGACCTGTGCCAGTGTAAGTTTACTCAAGCCGGATGGTTGAGTCCCGTTGCCCCGCTGTTTCTTCCTCCTAGGCTTCTGGGAGGGAAGAAATGGGAGAGAAGACCGGGGAGGACTGCCTTCATGAAACAAGGCAATCCGTGACCAAAGCAGGCTGAGACTCATGCTCTTGCAATGAGAGTACTCTGTCCAGGTGAGCACAACCTCAGCGTGAGTGCTGCCCAGGCAAGCAACGCACTCACCGTGCCCGTCTGAGTCATGCAGGGAATGAGCCACACTTACGGTATGACGTTTGAAGCAATGTCGCTAGGAAATCTGCTGGAAATTTGCTCAGAAAATTGTTCGCCGGTTGGCTTCTTCCTTCTGCTTCTTCCTCCTTCAGAATTCAGCGGGGAGTTGATCTTCGCACTGAAGGAGAAGGATTCTAACGACATGGTGCTCACAGCCAACTTTTATAGTAGTCGGCTCCACCCCTTTTGGCGGTTTGAAGTGCCATTTGTTTGTACAGCTACACGAACGTGAACAAATCAGGCTTCAGAATTCAGAGTAAACAAGAGTTTCCACATAGCGTGCAACGCAACGGTAGAGACTGTTCGAAAAAATAAATATTTGTAGAAATAATTTAATATTCATTGTTTTTTGTGATGTCATACCACATGATATCCAAATGTGGTAACTACATACCACGCTTAGAGAGCAACTTGGTAAGTCTCTGTCATTATTACATAAGAAATCCTTTAAAAGTTTGGTATGTTACAGTTTGTTAGAGAAACGGTGATATGAAAGTGTTAACAAAAGCTCTAGTGAAATGTAAGCTAAT